AAGTTCTTCCAGTTAACTGAAGGGTTACATCAGGGTACAGCTACAGACATGGATTGTATCTGGATTTCAGGGAAGAATATGTCGGTATACTACAAAAGCTGATTAACAAGTCAAGAAGCACGTCAAAGGATTTTTATACTTTGAAAATAATATTCTTCTGGAGTTTTTTGTATATTTTTCATGGCTATTAAATATTTCTGATGTGCCTGGGAATATTGTATTGTGAACTTGCAAATTTCCCCTTTAACTGAAAAGTTTTAACTGAGGATCATGTATGCCTTCTGCTTTGCTGAAGCCTCTGTTTCAAGAGTTATTTTTACCAGCTTTTCTTCATAATTGTTTTAATTATTTTTTTAGAACTTCCTAAAATACACACACACTTTAGCACAGAGGTGAATGTGCACATATACACTTATGCTTTATGCTTGGCAACACAGAGGCATTGAAAACTTGAGATGGAAAAGATGTCAAAGTCATCTAGTCCACCACTCCCAGACAAACGTTCATCCAATCTGTACCTAAAAAATTCTAGTGACAGATTTTACCCAAGGAAATGTTACAATAATGCTTATCCTTCCTCAGAGTTGCAAGTTTCTTCTTCATTTCTAATCTGCATCTCCATTGTTGTAATTTAAACCCATTACTTCCTGCCCTGTTCATTGTGGGAAACAGAGAACAAGTGATTGCCATCCTTTTTATAAAAACTATTTTAGATTTTGAAGGCTGTGATCAAATCCTCATTAGTCTTTTCTGTAATTACATAATTCCACTTCTTTCATCTTTTCTTCATATGTCATTTTTCCTACACTTCTAATCATTCTTATTGCCAGAGCTGTGACAAGGCAGCTCCACACCCCGGACAGCAGTGGCACAAGGAGACACACCAGCTGATGTGCTGTCAAAAGTGTCATGGGCACTAGCTGCACAGCAGCTATTCTCCCCCTCCACAGATTTTGCCCAGGGCTCCTCCCCCAGTTGTTCCCACCTCAGTTACGCCGCTGTTTTGCTCTCTTCTTGACTCTCCCATTTACCCACATACTTCTTGAACTGTGGTGCCCAAAACTGAATGTAATACTCCTGGAGAGGCCTTACCTATGCTAAAGCGTGGAAGAGTCACTTCCCTCAGCTTGCATACAACCCTCTTGTTAATATATCCTAGGACTCTCTTCAGTTTTTTCCTCTCCCCCGCCTTCTCTCCTCAAACGGCATTACATCCGTGATTCATATTCAGCTTGTGATTCACTATAACCCCCCAGGTCCCTTTCAACTAAGCTAATACCTTGCTTAAGTGTCAATGTTGCCCTTGTCCTTACTGAATTTCATCCCATCTATTTCAGATAGCTGTTCCACTTTAATAAGGTCCTTTTGAATCCTAACCCTATCCTTTAAAGTTTCTGCTACCCCATCCAACCTGGTGCTGTCCGTAGATTTATCCAGAGGTACACATCATCCTATCACCCACATCATGAACGTAGATATCAAACAGTACTGAACTTTGGACAGACATTCAGGAAACCATCAATAATTCAACTACCTCAATACACAGTCTAGCTGAAGCTATTGCCTTAGCTTAAAATATAAGACTGCAGTGAAACAGTATCAAAAGTCTTAAGTCTTAAAGTTAAAAGTCTTACATTATGGTAAATTCCCTCATATATAATTAAGGTTTTAGACTGTAAACCAAAGCTGCATAACTCAATGTAGATTGCTATACTTGTTCTTGGTATAGCATTATTATAAGTTAGAATAGCATGTATTGTAATACTATTATACAGTATGAAACATGCAAGTAAGTGCTGTAAAAGAGGCTTGTTTGTTTTCACTTCACAGTTAGCAATACAGGTATTCAAATTAAGGGTTACTATCATGTATGCTATTAATCTAGGTTAGACAGGAGACTGGTGGTTTTTATATTCTCGCTCACTCGCATGGCATCTTAAATTTTACAGAACACTCTAGCTTTAGCTTAACACCCCACAAAATAATTAGAAGAACGATTATGATTTAATCAGAGTTATGCTGCTTCCTACATTGTAGGGTTTTTAGCCCACATTTTAATTCTGTTTTCTCTTTTAAACAATAAGGTAATGCATTTTGTTGTTGCTATGGATTGTTGTACCAAACTCCTTGTTCTTTTACATGCTTGACAATGTGTAGATTAAGTTGTACACAAACACACAATTATGAACTATGGTGTATTGCTGAAGGTTTCACATGCATGACAGACCCATTAGAGAAAAGTGGTCAGCATAACATGGCATCAGTATTGCCCTGCTTACCTCTGCTGCCTCTAATGACTCTGGAAGGGATTTCTGGTGAGCAGCATCATTCTCTGGTTGCTAACATAACTCATGATCAGGGTATGACATGAAGGGTCAAATGCAGGTCAAGTTGGACACACTTTATCCTTGATGATGACTTTACTGATGAAGTCACATGTGGTCTTGAATTTCCTAGATTGACTGAGGCTTGTGGTGGCTTTCACATGCCATGTGGTCCCCTCTGGCAGACCTACCTCTTGTGTTCCACTGGTCTCCCTAGCCCAGAAGCAATCCCCAAGCTGCAGGCCAGATTTGTCACTGCCTTCCCTCTCTGCTCCCTCCTTATACAGCCCTAAAGGCTGGAGCCGGAGGTAGACAAGGCTACCATTTTATAGGATTCTAATCCCAGCTACATGGGCATTATTTTAAGGGGTTTCCGACCACGTGACATTGTTCTAGAAGATGCTTGCATGTATTGCATTGACCTGCCCACGCCTTCTCCTGAGGACCTGGGGCTGACTGGGTTTGTTATGTTGGAGTATAGAAGCAGCACACAGTTGCGATTTGCCTCCTGACAGATGGGTGATGAAGCTTCTGTGGACACTCAGGAGAAAACCTCCTCAGTAGTATTTTTTTTAATGGGACGCTAAGAAAAAAAGAATCTTATTTTCCATCTTGAAAATCTATAAACAGAAATGGCCCTCCCCACTCATGCCTAAATTGTATTCCATTTCTCCATCTCCTAGTACTTTGTCTCAGTTATTATTCTTATGTTGTGGCTAAACTACATAAGGTAACTTCAAGCCAAAGTAAAATACATTTCTAGGGAAAAAAATCTCTAGAGTGGAAAACAGAAATAAAAGTTCACAATTCTGAGTGACAAACACCTTTGGCCATATCTGTGATGTCACTCGGTTACTTACAAATGTACTAGAACGACAGATGTATTCTTAACTGGAGAAAGCTGTTAGTAATGAAAATGGTTGAATTTATGAAAACTAGTTTTCAGTCTGTTTTCAAGTTATTTCACCAGAAACAGAACCAACAGAGAATAGAATAAATCAAGGTGAAAGAAACCCACAGAGCTGCATCAGTGGAAATAACACAACATATAAAACCAAATAGTCCTGCAGCAATCAAAACCCAATCTGTTTTGTGTAAAGTCATGTAAATCTGGGTATACATTTTTACTATATTCTCTTATAGCATTTTTCAATTTTGTATTAGGTCTTTAAAACCTGATTCAGATAGTTAAATACATAAACTCTCTCAATCCTTTTCCAGTTCTCACTGCCACTCTTTGGGTAGCACAGTGAAATTTATTTTAGTTGCTGCCTACTAAGACACATTTTTGGCCTCCTTAACCTTTTCCAAACAAATTCTCAACTTGTGAGGTAATAAACAAGAAATAAAAATTGGTTTCTTTACACCTTGGCAGATAGTATATTGCTTTGTAAGCATGAACCAGGGGAGAAGGGGAAAAACAATTTAATGCAGCTCTCTTTCAGCACATTGATTTTAGTGTTAACTATGTTGCTATAGCAACAAAGACAAAATTCACCAACTTCTCTTGCTGGCATCTACTAAGCGTTTGCTGATTTTTATTATCTCTGGACACTTGTACATGTGATGGTCATCACAATGTGCACATGATGAAAATATAATTTATCTGGCTTGAATGGCATCACTCAATATAGTGTGCCAGTTCTGGTGGTTTTAAATGACTTTGCATTGTTGCAAACTAAACTACATCTGGATGTAGTTTCATTTGCAATGTTGCAAATTGCAATATGCAGCTGTCGGTTCATGCCAACCCCCTCCCCCCTCCAGCTGCAGGAGAGGTAGGCAGACTCTGCAGAAAAAAGGATCAGGCCCCTCGCCGTAGAACCGCTAAGGGGCCCAATCCTTTTTCTTTTCTTCCTGGCAGAGCCTGCCTGCCTCTCCCACAGTCCAGGGGAGATCTGCTGGCTGGTCGAGCAGCTCCTGAGCTGCAGGAGGCCCCAGTCCTTCCCTCCATGGCAGTGGTACCCCCCAGGGCCACCTGAATGGGGCTGCTAGTGGACTGGAACTGTTGCAGCTTGGAGGCAGCACCCAGCAGATCCAACTCCTACCTGAGCCTACCAGGGCTTCCAGAGCCCTGTGCACTGTCCCTGCCATCTTTCCGCTGCCTGGGAATGGGCTGGCTTGCCCTTGAGGCAGCACAGGGAAGTGGCAGGAGGGTGGCTGGGTGTGCTGGTGGCTGGAGGAGGCAGCAGGGATGGTGTACAGGGTGCTGGAAGCCCACCAAGCCCAAGTTTCTCTGAGCCTGCCCAGGTTTCCAATGCCCCATGCACTGTCCCTGCTGCCAGCACACACACCTGTCCTCCTGCCACCTCCCCACATTGCCCCAGGAGCATGCCAGCCTGTTCCTGCATGGTTCCAGGCAGCAGAAAAGTTGCAGAGACAGTGCACAGGGTGCTGGAGGCCCTGGTGGGCTTGGGGAAGTGTTGGATCTGGCCAGATGATTCCTGCAAAGCTGGGGAAGACCCTGGGAAACTAGCTTCCCACCCAGGAAGCCCCAGGGGGCACCACTGCCACAGAGGGAGGGATCAAGACCCCCTCGCAACTCAGGAGGCACTCAGCCCACTGACAGATCACTGGAGAGCTGCTCTAATTAAAACGCCGCAGCATCACATGTATTCAGTGTCCTACACTTTAAAATGGCAATGGAACACTGAATATACAAGACAGTGAGGCTTGTGGAACACTTTAATTGGAGTGCCAATTAGAATGTGTCTAATTAGAATGCGTCAGAGCAAATATATAGTGTCTAAATTAAATACAACTGATCTATGAACTGGCAGTGAACCTTTTTCTTCTTAAATGACAAGATTCTCAAATGCTACAAAACTCACAGTCCAAAAACCATGACAGTGTCATTAATTTATAGCACTGGCAGAAACATTAACCATCTTGCTTGCCCTGCCTTTCCATACACCTTTAGGTTCCTCATTTATGTCTCAGCTGGACTATCATTCCACATCACACCACCTGTGGAAAGTATAAGAGGGAAAATGTTGAAATGGAAACCTTCCCTAAAGCCAAGTCTACACAATATATTTCATCTGGTATAGCATTAGTGGGGGGGGACTTTTGTCTGTCAGCAAAAGTTGCAGTGTTAAGCAAATAAATGCTTTGGCCAGAGTAGATTATTTTGTTCTCTGAACAAACACAAGCTATACTGGCAAACATTTTCTAAATTATAATGCTAGCTTCATACCAAGCATGTTAGTAGCTTCTCCTGCCTGCTCCATCCCCTATCAATTTAGCCTCTGCTTCACTCCACACTGACAGGAGGGGAAAAGGATGAAAGAAGTTACTTTCATTCTTTGTTTCTCTATTTTTTCCACTTAGCTTATGGCTGCTGAACTAAATTCTTCTCTGAGAAAAGCATGGAATGAACATTCTCCTTATATTGTTCACTGAGCTTGTGCACTGCGTCATTTCTTCCTCCACCCTGGTCCCCATTTCCACTTAGATCAGGGATTTTCAAACTTCCTAAAGTCATAGTGTAGCAAAACCTCCAGTTTTTCTTTTTTTTTTTTTCTTTTGAAATGCATTCTCTCCCCTTCCCCAACTATTTCTGATTTTATCTATAGGGAATAGAGAGGGAGAGACAAGTATAAGTAAGGTAAAGTGTAGGATAAGCTTTAACATTTTATTTTAGGTAGTAAGTTTTATTTCTCTCCCCTCTGCAAATAAGTGCCCTGCTATTTTGATATAGATATCCACTGTTTTATAAGGCAAAAGAATTATGTTTGTATTGATTTTTTTACTGCTTTTATATTGTGTGATTACTGTTTTAGGCCTATATGTGCAAGTTAGCATAAGTCATGTCAAGTTTCCATCTTGTAATGTCAAGCCTCCATCTTATCCTCATGCCTAGTTGTGTAACCTACAACTCATACTACCCCGCCTATGTAACTTGGTTCCTCAATGAATGGGAATGAATGAGGGTGCTTGAGAGACAATGGCAGTAGGTCTAAAAATAGCTGCCTCTGAATGACCAAACCATCAACACCAATACCTGGACCAACTATCCAGCCCTTGGAACCACCCTCAGCATTCAAGAAACAAAAGATGAGGCAACCCACCATTGTGCCAAGACTGCACATGCTCAGTATGAACACCTGGAACAGGAGTGACCTTGCCTGGACAGGCCCTCCCCATAGGAGATCAGAGGTAGTCTGCCCCATAAAAGGGGTAGTGAAGACTGACTCCTTGGGAACACCATTTCCATCTGGACCAGACAAGCTCTACGTCACACCACTTATCCACCCCAGAGGCCCTGCCGGCGACCCCCTCTGGACAACACCGAGCTGAAGGAGACCCCACCTGCCATCAAGGACCCACTTTCAGCCTGGGATGGGTAGATATCACCAGCATATTTCCTCCTCCAATTTGGACTCTCTCTCTCTCTGCTCCAAGACTTCAGCCCCTGCACCAAGCCTCTTTAACCCCTGCTGCCTTTGTCTGTGTGTGTGTGGGGCAGGGACGACATGCCCACGCACATACACAAAGGAACCAATAAAATATCATGTCACCATCTCCCCTGTTCAATAAAACCACTGTCATTTGTAACCCCGAGTTGGGTTGTGTTTTACTTAGTCCCAGTCCCTTCCCTATCTTAAATTCTGGTCTCTGTCTCTCTCTCTCAGCCCTGTTCTCACCACCTTTTGTCTCCTCTCTGTCCCTTTTCTGCAGGCTCTCAGCCCTGTTGCTTTCTGCAGGCTCTCAGCCTTGCCCCCACCACTTTTTGCCTCTTGCCACCTCTTCCCAATCCCTATCTCTCTCTGCCTTCTCTTTCACTCTCTCCCTCTCTCTGTGTTCTCCAGCCTCCCCCCTTACCTCCCATCCCCCGCAGCCCCTCTCCCAGTTTTCCTCTCCCCACATACCTCTTGGCTCCCCTGTAGCCTCCTTGCTCCAGCTCCAGCCTCCGAGCTTCTCCCCGTCATTGCTCCTTTGGTCTGCCAGCTTTCTGCTTTCAATTAACACCAATTAACCTTAAGTTACCCCAACTTTCTTCCAGTCTGCTGGTTCTAATCCCAGCACTGGCAACTTTCATCTCAGTTTCCACCAGCAGTAACCTAAAGTAACCCCAAGCCTCAGCTTGTCAGCCCAGCTCTCTTTCTAGTCTACCAGTTCTAATCCCAGTCCCAGCAACTTTCACCCCCTACACTTTCACTCTCTCTCTCTTACCTTAACCTTCCCCCAGGTATCCCAGGTACACATACATATACACCACAACACCCAAGTTAGGAACTCACCTGTGTGTGTGTGTGTGTGTGTGTGTGTGTGTGTGGGTGAGTGGTATGTATGTGAACTGATATACATGTATGCCATTGTGTGCATGATATACGAATTAGTGATCCGTGTATGTGTACTGGATGTGCAGGTATTGGTAATTGATCCTGGTCTAATGTCTTTTGGTCTGTATAGTGTGTGTAGGTGCTTGAATTGGTGATAGGTGTACATGTGCCTAGGCTGGTAATTTTGGATATGTATGTGCCTGAATTGGTAGTGTGTGTGTGCATATCTGGTGGGGGTGCATGCATCTAGAGTATGTGTATGCACCTAATTGATTTTTTAGTGTGTGCATGTGCAATTGTACACCACGCCCTCCTGTCTAACCATGCAATATTGAGATCCTGAGAGTTGGCCTGACCCCACAGGGCAACAACAGAACCCTTTAATATCACTTCTGCTGTGGAACCCATATGCCTGGGCTCTTCCGGCTGTGCAAGCGGACATGGGGCCAAGGTGACACAGCCTGGCAATGGTTGCACATGGCTTCCCAGCCTGCTTTGTTATTGCCCTCAATTTCTTTGCAGAGCTTCTGATGATCTATTGTGGAACAGCTCTATGGAACACATTTTGAAAACCATTGGCTTAGACTATACTTTACATTGTCAGCTCTTTGGGACAAAGCCTTGTACTATTCTGCATTTGTACAATGCCTAGCACAGTGGCCTAGAACCCCTTCATTTGGCCCTCAAGTACTGCTGTAATTAATTAGGAACAGCAGGGTTAGAATGGAGGCTGGAAACCTGGCAGAGCTGTCAAGACTTCAAGGGGCTTTACCAACAGGAATTAGCTAAAGGTTCTCAATTGTATTTTGTCAAGCACTTCATAGATTTCATAGACATTAGGGCTGGAAGGGACCTCAAGAGTTCTTCAAGTCCAGGCCCCCGCCCCAGGGGCAGGAAGTCAGCTAGGGTCAAGGGATCCCAGCAAGATAAGCATCCAAACATTTCTTGAATGAGTCCAGAGTAGGTGCTTACACCACCTCTGGAGGGAGTCTATTCCAGGCCTTGGGGGCTTGGACAGTAAAGAAGTTTTTCCTTACGTCCAGTCTAAAACGGTCATGGAGGAGTTTATGACCATTGGTCCTCGTTATCCCATGGGGTGCTCTGGTGAACAGATGTTTCCCCAGATCCTGATGCACACCCCTTATGTACTTATAGGAGACACCAGGTCACCCCTGAGCGTGTGCTTTTCTAGGCTGAAGAGTCCCACTTAACTGAAATATACCAGTCCAGACAACAATTAGCCAGGCCTGTTGATCAAAATAGCCTGTTGATTTAAAAAAAAAAATAGCTTATTAAACTCATTATTTTGAGTCACGGGGGTCCCTGATAAATTGGTAATGATTGTTTCAAAACAAAGTTGAATTAAACAGCAGGATAGAGAGCAGTGAGAAGCAAGTGATGAAATATACTTAACAAGAGGTGTTGTGGAACACCTCAGTCTTTAACTGCATGAAATTTACTGTTGTTATTCTTCCCATAGGGTTAGTTATAGGAAGAGAGAAGAATTCAGCTTTTCATTTCCATACCAGCTCCTAATTTTGGCTTTTATAAAATTCATTTCCATTTCTCCACTCATTTATTTAGCTGCCTTACTGCTTAGCCTTGAGTTTGTAACATATAATACTGTAATATATAAATATATTTGGATGATTAAATGTTTCTTTGTTCTTGATCCAGGCTGCAGTTAGGTCTTGAAAACCAAGCAAGTTATAATCTAAGTCTCAAATGAAAAAAAGTGTTTTAAAAACTCCACATTTATCTGGACTAAATCTCGGTCCTTCTGAAGATAACAGGTGTTTTGTTGCTTTCAATGGAATCAGGATTTGGTGACAAAAAAGAATGCAAGATAATATATTAACATTTAAGTCTTAAATAGAATTTTACATGTTCAAAATCTATTGTGAAATTGAATTCATAAATGAACGATACCCTACTTCAGTCACTTCCCAACCTCTTTAAACTCAAGGCACCCCTCCCCTCAAAGTCAAGACACCCCTTGGAAAGTGCCAACTCTTAGCTTTTGCTTAGTTTTTGAATATGGGAAAATAGAGTGATTCTTCTGTTGCAAAGAGCTTAGAAAGACCTCAACAGGGCAGAGTGGTTTTGACACCATGGATTCTTATTTTAAATTTTTGTCTGCACACCTAACAATCCTATTATTAAGTGGCACCTCACAGTACCCTTCAGAGGATTATGTTGCAGCATCGCAGGCATCCTGGTTGAGAATCGCTCCCTAGTCATTATACAATGAATCTCCAACTTGTTACAGATAGTACAGAGATGGGATTTAATCAAATTTTAGCCAGCAAGAAGCATTGCAAACACATAGGAACTGCCTCAGATACATGTGACTACTCATTTTGAGCATAAAGCTATTGCAAACCTGGCAGTTTGAGGACTCGTATCAAGCAGTCCTGCCTGGCCAAGCACATCAGTTACCACACATGCCCTTGATCAATAGCTAATGTGGCTGGCCCAGTTCTCTGTAACGAGATCAGCTGCTGAAATTGCCATTCACCCCTTTTAAATGCACCTGCAACCTCAGGCTACAGGCATGCCTTCACACAGCCTCAGTCTTTTTGGGCAAGGCTCCCATTCATGGCTCTCCCTACTTCTGAATTCTGACCTGGCTTTGGCTTTTTTGGAACCTGTTCTTGGTCTCCCTGAAACTCAGCACCAATTCCATTCTCTCTGGTTTTCCTAGTATCCTGACTCAGCTTTGCTTCCTTGACCCTGATATTGGATCTTCCCTGGAACTCAGCACCAGTCCTCAGACCCCTGGCTCCTGACCTTGGCTTATATCTCGAACTGCATCTCTTGGATCTCCCTTCTCAACTCCAGTAACCTGGACCCCCACCCTGCTAACTTCCTAGTTGTTCCCCCAGGGCCTATCCACAGGCCCAGCCACCTATGTCCCAGCAGAACCCTCACAGCAGTGAATATACTTGGTAATAGAGATTGAGGGAATGGCCAAGGGAAGAGCTTCAACATGTTAAGCGAGTCTAGGACTAAATATTTACTAAATTATTTAGCATCTCTCAAACCTGCTTCCTTCAACAGGACTTTTAGGAAGTCCTAAAGTAAAACTCAAATATACCTTTGTGATTTAGGATCCCAAGTCCAATTTTCAAAAGTCACATAAGCATATAGTGCATTTTTCACCAGCAGTTACGTGCCCAATTCCCACTGAGTACTTCTGAAAATCTCATTGGTACCTATGTACATCTTTAGATGCCTTTAAACTCTGGCCTTTAAGGCTGGTCTATACACGTGATCAAGGGGCGGGGGGTGGGGGGGAGCAAGGAGCATTTTAATTGGAGCGGTTCCTAGAAAGCCAATCTAATTAAAACACTTTACCATTGTGTGCATTAAGTCCCCACACATTTAAAAATGGCCATGGGGTGCTTTATCTAAACCTCATTCGACAAGGTTTAGATAAAGCTCCCCTGCAGCCATTTTAAAACATGTGAGGGCTTATACATGTGATGGTGAGGCCATGCTGGAGCGTTCCATTTAGAACACAGAGCAGACTTGATTAATTGAGCCTGCTCTGATGCATTCTAATTAGAACACAAACCAGCATGTGTATAGGCAGCCTAAGAGCCTAAGTCCCATTGAATTTCATAGCAACATTGGCTCCTGAGCTATGAAGGTATTATTGAAAATCTACCCTGGGTTCAAACCTGACTTCCTTGTGGTAAAATTCTCATTGAGGGTGACCAAAAACAGCTTCATAATCTTCCCTTGCCTTTAAGTCCAAAGCTTGAATGGAGTCCTCAGTTCACCCTTTGGAATTAAGCTTTTTCACCCTTGAGGTGTTTCTAGGATGTTCTTCATACATCTATAATTCAAGGGCTGATGTCAATCATTCTGTCCTATCTGCTTATTTATACATGAATTCTATCTATATTTTTTTCTGGGAGTTAGTTTCATATCAGGAGCTTAATTTGTATAGGTAAATAGTAGCTAACAACTCTACCTCGTGCTTAGAGCTAAACATGAAGTAGGGATTGGAAGGGACTGGTAGCCTTGCTAAGCCTTTTATATTTAAAAGAGAGTTCCATGACAGATTTCTTGAAGTTAACTCTTATTCTCAGAATATAGTTCTCCTCTGTGGTGCAGTTCTTGTTTGTTAATATTTGTTCTACCAAAGTAAAAATCATAGAAACCATCCTATACAAATCTAATCTAACCTCTCAATAAAATTACCATCAACTCTGGCCATTTGTAGATGTGCTCAGCATTTTCTAACCCATGTTAACTGATTCTCATCACACAGTTTGAATCAAATTTCAATTTGAGTTAAGGGTTAATATACAGTCATTGACCATCATGGCAGGGGGCACTGGCTATATAGCAACCATATATACATGTTTACTAATACAGTTTAAATTGCCTAATTTGGACTGCCCTAGTCTGCTTTAATTTTAGTCCTCATTCAATGAGGATTAGGTAATTCAGACTGGAGCCAATTCTAATTTGGACTATAGATGTCCATGTGTATGTAGTGATAGCTGTAATTCACAATAAACCTAGAAAAACATAATGCCTATAAATGGGTCCTGATGCAACACAAAACCTAACACCCTAACCTGCCAAACATAAAGCAGAGGGACTACAGCAGTCAAAATCCTGCTTCTGTAAGAGGTTGTTAATAGATGATCAAGAGATA